ACCAATAGCGTGGCAGCAGCTCATCTCAAAAAAGCATTCTTACCAATAGCATGGCACCAGCTCATCTCAAAAAAGCATTCTGACCAATAGCGTGGCAGCAGCTCATCTCAAAAAAGCATTCTTACCAATAGCGTGGCAGCAGCTCATCTCAAAAAAGTAGTCTGACCAATAGCATGGCAGCAGCTCATCTCAACACGGCATTCTAACCAATAGCGTGGCAGCAGCTCATCTCAACACGGCATTCTAACCAATAGCTCGGCAGCAGCTCATCTCAAAAAAGTAGTCTGACCAATAGCATGGCAGCAGCTCATCGCAAAAAAGCAGTCTGACCAATAGCATGGCAGCAGCTCATCGCAAATAAGCATTCTGACCAAAAGTGTGGCACCACTAGTAAATATTCAAACAAAAAATACTACATACATGTGTATGAGAGAAAATATATTCCTTGAAATATGCTGTAAAATACTTTATTTTCGCTATTTTTGCTGTTAGAATGATTCAGTGAAAATAAAATCCAGCGAATGTACCTTTTTCCTTATATTTTACATTCAACTCATCAAAAATCAGTGAAAATAAAATCTATGAATATCATCCAAAATTTCAGCGAAAATTAATTCCAGCTAAAATAAAGTATTTTACAGTATAAAAAGAAAAGAGCTAGTCACCTTTGCTTACCATTTGACAAGTCAAAAATTCACAAAACTTATTAGCTTAAAGCGGGCGAGTCGTCACCTGCACATGCGTCAGATGGCCATAGCGTGTCATTGTTTACAAACAAGCGTCTACCCATGAGCCTTTGCGTTTTCAGCATGTGTTGTTATCGTCGCTTGGGACTCCATTCCCGCGCGTGCGCAGGTGACGACCCTCTCACTTTAAGCTTGTATACCATTTGATATTTTTTGACTAGCAATTGTTTTCTAAATGAGAAAACATTCAATTGTGAAATACTGCATTGATTTGTGGCTTTATGGTTTAAAAATACTGGTGCATTCTGGGTAAAAGACTGGTGCATTCTGGGTACATGCATAGTGTAAAGCTTGGCTATAAATACTGAAGTACATGTTTTGTACATGAGAAAACATACAGTTGTGAAAAGGTGAATTAATTTACAGGGTCCATAGCGTTGGGAAAATCCTTTGAAAGTCTTTGGATTTTTTGAGGTCTGGAAAGTCTTTGAGTTGTCTTTAAATTACAGGAAAAATAAAAAAAATCTTTGAAAAGTCTATAAATTTCTTCTTAGTTATTAATTTGTTTTAGAAAGGCCCATTTTCTCCAGAGAAGTACCATATCCTCAGAACTTTGGTGATGATATTGGCCTGAATTAAGGGTAAAATGTCTTGGAAAAATGCAAGAAAGTTTAGGTAAAGGTCTGGAAAAGTCTTGGAAATCATTTGGCTCTTGGTGCTATGCTTCCTGATTTGTGACTTACATGTAGTAGTTTAAAAATACTGCTGTTTGATGTGACATGCATAGTGTAAAGCTTGGCTATAAATACTGAGGTACATGTTTTGTACATGAGAAAACATACAGCTGTGAAAAGGTGAATTAATTTACAGGGTCCATAGCATTGGGAAAATTCTTTGAAAGTCTTTGGATTTTTTGAGGTCTGGAAAGTCTTTGAGTTGTCTTTAAATTACAGGAAAAATAAAAAAAATCTTTGAAAAGTCTATAAATTTCTTCTTAGTTATTAATTTGTTTTAGAAAGGCCCATTTTCTCCAGAGAACTACCATATCCTCAGAACTTTGGTGATGATATTGGCCTGAATTAAGGGTAAAATGTCTTGGAAAAATGCAAGAAAGTTTGGGTAAAGGTCTGGAAAAGTCTTGGAAATCATTTGGCTCTTGGTGCTATACTCCCTGATTTGTGACTTAGTAGTTTAAAAATACTGCTGTTTGATGTGGCATGCATGCACAGTGTAAAGCTTGGCTATAAATACTGAGGTACATGTTTTGTGATGGTATATACATCTAGTACTATGAAGAACCTTGTTTTAGTGGGTTTGATGTTATGGGGATATTCACTAGGTTTTATACCATAACAGCATATTGTTCAACATTTAGAATTTATTATACATTTCTGAATAAACTTATTTTCACTTAAAATAGTTTTTTCAGTGCTCATTTTCTCCTTTACTTTTCTAATAATTATACGCATTATACATTCAAATAAATACATTAAATGTTGTTTGGATCAACAAAACATCCGAAACAGAAAACTAACATTACTCTGTTATACTGTATGTGGTGCACCTTACTTACCGGTATGCAAAATTAAAAAAAAAATGTTTCAGGCGCAGATTTTGATTAGGTTTTTTTAATAGCGCAGCTCCCCTAATCACTCGTGTTACTGTGTTGAAGAGAGCTATTTTTACCTGGCCATCCATCGTATTACTATGAAATATTTTATTTTAGCTGGAATTAATTTTCGTTGAAAAGATTTTTGGGGTGTTTTGTGTGGAATTTATTTTTGCTGAATGTTGAATGTAAAATAAAGAAAAAAAGGTATATTCGCTGGATTTTATTTTCACTGAATCATTCCTTCAGCGAAAATTATATTGGGCCTATTCAATTTTCCAGATATACATGTACGTCTATGAACTAAACAATCGTTTGGTGTAGCCTACATGTACTAACTGTAAGGCCAGGAAAAAAAAATTCTCTGTTTCTCCTTTCATGGAAATTTTAAAATTAGGCGGGGCGTTTTTTTTTTTTTTGAATACTGAGCTAAAATGGGGGAAATTTGAGACAAGTGCGAGTACAAGCGCATTTTGGGAAGAAAAAAAACAACAAGAAACAGAGATATTTTTTTTCTCCGCCTATAACTGCTTTAATTTCACAATAATTTTTTACAAGTCAGTAAAATAAAGAAATTGTGTAGCAGTCAAATTTGTCTGAAGTTTTAATTTTATGAGAAAAATTTTGTGAATTTTGCAAGTCAGCAAATAGGATGTCTTCAACTTGTCTTCCTAAATTTTAATTCCAAATTGTCTAATTCCGAGCAGCAAAACTTAAGTGGTTTACCAGAAATTATATAGGAGCGCAGTGCCCTCATGCCATGGCCATGTGCCACTTTACCCTGGGGGAGCAGATCCTCTGGCAACCATGAAATTCTGATTGACCAGGGATCACATGTGGCCACAGTCTTTAACTGTGACGTGTCTGATAGTAATTTTTGGCCCCAGGGAAGCCATAGAATGCTCCATTTTAATCTAGAATCATCAAAAACTCCACACCTCTGTAGGGAGAACCCTATCTTCCCTACTTGGTGGCTCTGTAGTGCTCCCTCTTGCAGTTTTTTTGTAGAAAACCACTGGTTTACAGTATTTCAAGTAGTTTTAGATTTCTATTGACTTTTTCACAACCTCTTTTCATCCCAAATTCATAAAATAGTCCCATTTATACAGTGCAGTCTGCACTTTCCTTCAGAAGATTGGGACAAAGATAGCCAAATTTTTGGAATAAAAACTGAAAATTGACTCAAAATTTGTCTGCTACATGTAGCTCCAAACTTATGGTTCATTTTCAGAAATATTGAAGAATATACACATGTAGGAAAAACAGTGCAGCAAAATTTGGGTAAATAGGTTAAAGCAGGAGGGGTGACACCTGCGCACGCGCAGGAAGTGAGTCCCAATCGACGATAACAACATGCGCTAAAAACACAAAGGCTCATGGGTAGACGCTTGTTAGTAATCAATGACACGCTATGGTCATGCATGCGCATGTGACAACTCCCCCCGCTTTAATTCACGAAAATAAAATCTAATTTATCGTTTCAGAACAATTGGTATCGATTGCTCCATCTGGTGTGCCATTTATAGCACTACAAGCTGTGGCGGGCCCCGCTGCTGGCATGACATCCGCCACGCTTACCAACCCTATGGATATAATCAGAACCAGGTTACAGGTAAGGCGGCCATCTTTGTTTGACCCCTTCGGGTGTCAATGTCAACTGTTGCTGGTATTCACAGAGTAAAACTCGCATAATTTTTTGTTTATACATATTTTTCCCAAATTATGATCAAAGACATATAGCCGGTAAAAAATTATTGTCATGTCAGTATCTGCGAATCGGGCTATTTTTTTCATACATATATTCTTCAATATTTTTGGAAATGAATCCTATTTTTAGAGCCAGCAGACAAAATTTGAGTCAATTCTCAGTTTTTACTCTAAAAAATTACTTTCATCCAAATGTTCTTAAAAAAAATGCAGATTATTTAAACGGGACTATTTTGTGAATTTGTGATGAAAAAAAGGAACTAGTGGTGAAAAGTTTAAGCTGACAGACAGCTAGCTGAATGTTGAGTTTTACTTGGACTGTACTGGAGTAGCTATAAAAGTTAGGTTAGCTTTTAAAGCCTGCTTAAAGTGAGGTAAATGTTAAGTTATCCTTGGACTATACTTTAGGTGACAAAGCTGTTCTCCATACTTCCTTATGTCACAAAATGTATGCAGTACACCATAGTACATCAATATCATATAGACTTCTTCATGCAAGTCACACGCTATGGGCATTCTGGGTGCAAGTATCAGGTGCATTCTGGGTACAAGTCTGGTGCTTTCTGGGTGCAAGTATCAGGTGCATTCTGGGTACAAGTCTGGTGCATTCTGGGTGCAAGTATCAGGTGCATTCTGGGTGCAAGTATCAGGTGCATTCTGGATGCAAGTATCAGGTGCCTTCTCGATACAAGTATCAGGTGCATTCTCGGTACAAGTATCAGGTGCATTCTCGATACAAGTATCAGGTGCATTCTCGATACAAGTATCAGGTGCATTCTGAGCGCAAGTATCAGGTGCATTCTGGGGAAAAGACTGGTGCATTCTGGGTAAACGACTGGTGCATTCTGGGTACATGTATCAGGTGCATTCTGGATGCAAGTATCAGGTGCATTCTCGGTACAAGACTGGTGCATTCTGAGTGCAAGTATCAGGTGCATTCTGGGTACAAGTATCAGGTGCGTTCTGGGTATAAGTATCAGGTGCATTCTTGGTACAAGTCTCTGGTGCATTCTGGGTACAAGGTTCTAGTGCATTCTGGGTACAAGTCTGGTCAAATTTAAAATGTTGTGAAATGTACCTTCATTGTTGTAAAAAAAAAAATTTTATTTTGGTCAAAGTTACAAAACTAAATGACAGAAATCAAAATACTCCACAGATTTTTCTTTGGTGCAAAACCAATATTTTTGTTCAATGTTTGGTAGTAGTCTTAAAGTAGAAGGGGTTGTCATCTGCGAACAATTTATGAGGCAGAGAGGGACGATAATAATGCATGCTAAAAATGCAAAGGCTCATGGGTAGATACTTGTTTTTAAGCAATCACACACGCCCGTCTGGTGCATATGCAGGTGACAACTTGCCTGCTTTGAATCATTTGCCAGCGATGCCTGCTGAACATTTTCTTGGATAAGCAAATGAATGCGAACAATGTAGGCAATACATTCATTAAATTTTGAACATTAACCAACAACCAACCAATTGGTTTCTCTTGCAACATTGTCATATTCATAAGAACATTACATTCTTTTGCAACATCATGTTCACGAGACCATTACTGAACATTGTGCAAAAATGCAATGAAACATTGTATCTCTGAATTGGTTTCTCTTGCAACATTTTTATATTCATAAGAAGATTATATTCTTTTGCAACATCATGTTCATAAGAACATTACTGAACATTGTGCAAAAATGCAATGAAACATTGTATCTCTGAATTGGTTTCTCTTGCAACATTGTCATTTTCATAAGAACATTACTAAATATTCTACAATATAACATTGTATCTCTGAATTGGTTTCTCTTACAACATTTTCATATTCATAAGAACATTACATTCTTTTGCAACATCATGTTCATAAGAACATTACTAAACATTGTGCAAAAAATGCAATAAAACATTGTCTCTCTGAATTGGTTTCTCTTGCAACATTGTCATTTTCATAAGAACATTACTAAATATTCTACAATATAACATTGTATCTCTGAATTGGTTTCTCTTACAACATTTTCATATTCATAAGAACATTACATTCTTTTGCAACATCATGTTCATAAGAACATTACTGAACATTGTGCAAAAATGCAATGAAACATTGTATCTCTGAATTGGTTTCTCTTGCAACATTTTTATATTCATAAGAAGATTATATTCTTTTGCAACAACCATGTTCATAAGAACATTACTGAACATTGTGCAAAAATGCAATGAAACATTGTATCTCTGAATTGGTTTCTCTTGCAACATTTTTATATTCATAAGAAGATTATATTCTTTTGCAACATCATGTTCATAAGAACATTACTGAACATTGTGCAAAAATGCAATGAAACATTGTATCTCTGAATTGGTTTCTCTTGCAACATTGTCATTTTCATAAGAACATTACTAAATATTCTACAATATAACATTGTATCTCTGAATTGGTTTCTCTTACAACATTTTCATATTCATAAGAACATTACATTCTTTTGCAACATCATGTTCATAAGAACATTACTAAACATTGTGCAAAAAATGCAATAAAACATTGTCTCTCTGAATTGGTTTCTCTTGCAACATTGTCATTTTCATAAGAACATTACTAAACATTGAGCAAAATAATGCAATAAAACAGCGAGGATAATAAAAATCACAAGAATAAAGTGTTCCGTTACTTTGAATTATTTTTCTCCAGGTGACTGGTGGCAGTACAATCATACAGACATTTGTACAGCTTCTAAAAGAGGAGGGTCTTAAAGGGCTGACCAAAGGCCTGACTGCAAGATATTTGTCGACAATACCGACTAGTTTTATGTTAACAGTTAGCTATGAGTTCATAAAACGAGTTAGTCTGAAATCTCACCTGTTGCAAGAAAGGGAGTGGTAGACAAATTGTAAGTTGAAACTTGGGGACTGAAATTTGTGGCAATCTAGGAGTAATTGTTAGTAGACTCAGGCGGCCATTTTAAGAATTTTGCTGAAGTTAAGTGTACTCAGTTTCATAATTATACCCAACTTAGCCAGGCTTTCACATGTGTTGCATTGTGGGTGTACTCTTTTCAACAATTGGGCAGGGTTTTCCAAATGTGGGATTCCCGATTGAAAACATTTGGCTTGTGTTTTCAGTACCCTAAGCATACCGAAAATCAAAATTTGGGTTACTAGACAATGGGATTAATATTCATTTTGCACTGCTTTCTATTTTTAAATAATTTATTTAAATTCAAATTATGCTATTAAAAATTAAATAAAAAGTTAAAAATTATATACAATCATTCAATGGGAGATTTTCTCCCATAATGCATTGTATATGCCTAGTAATAGAAATTTTAATTTGGATCAAATTGCCTTGAGAATGTTGTGATTGTTTTTCATAAACTAATAACTTTGGTATATTTTTTCTTGTTTCAAAAACTGGATCTGGTAATAAGCTGTTGCATAGACATAGGGCTTGGGATACTATATCCAATATGCTAATTACCCATTGCATATACATAAAGCTAGGGAGACTATATCAGATATGCTAATTAGTCATCCATATACATAAAACTAGGGAGGCTATATTAGATATGCTAATTAGTCATTCCATATACGTAAAGCTCGGGAGACTATATCAGATATGCTAATTAATCATTCCATAGACATAAAGCTAGGGAGACTATCATATATGCTAATTAGTCATTCCATAGACATAAAGCTAGGGAGGCTATATTATATATGCTAATTAGTCATTCCATATACATACAGCCAGGGAGGCGATATCAGATATGCTTGTTAGTTATTCTATAGACATAAAGCTAGGGAAACTACATCAGATATGCTAATTAGTCATTCCATATACATAAAGCTAGGGAGACTATCAGATATGCTAATTAATCATTCCATGGACATAAAGCTAGGGAGACTATAACAGATATGCTAATTAGTCATCCATATACATAAAGCTAGGGAGACTATATCAGATATGCTAGTTAGTTATTTTATAGACATAAAGCTAGGGAGACTATATCAGATATGCTAATTAATCATTCTATGTACATAAAGCTTGGGAGACTAAAACAGATATGCTAATTAGTCATTCCATAGCTAGGGAGACTATAGTACATACCGGTATAGAGACTATAGTTATACATTTTAGGTTACGTAGGTTTATTCAAGAGCTTTGCTGAAATAGCTTTATTAAAGTGCCTGTGAAATGGCTGCTATTTTCACACCTTACATTATCCATTCAAGTGCCCATAAATATCTTGCTAATAAAATGCATTTCTGTTCAGTCTATAACTTGTACTTGCAATGTGGGAACTAATACACATGTATGCAACATATCTGGTTTGCTTCAACACCATGATATTGGGCTTGTACATATAAATACCAAACAAACACACAATAAATACCAAACAAACACACAATTAATACCAAACAAACACACAATACCAAACAAACACACAATAAATACCAAACAAACACACAATAAATACTAAACAAACACGCAATAAATACCAAACAAACACACAATAAATACCAAACAAACAATAAATACCAAACAAACACACAATAAATACCAAACAGACAAACAATAAATATCAAACAAACAAACAATAAATACCAAACAAACACACAATAAATACTAAACAAACATGCAATAAATACCAAATAAACAATACCAAAGAAGCAATAAATTCCACAAACACACAATAAAGAAATACCAAACAAACACACAATACCAAATAAACAAACAATGAATACCAAACAAATTTTTATTTGATATTAATTTCTCCTCACTTTATTTTGTGTGTGAAAGCACCCCTAACTTTGCCACATTTCTGAGCACACTCTACAATGTAACTCTTATACACAAGTGAAGCACCCCTAACTCTTCTAACAAGTTTACAGGATTGCCAGACATTTCAAATCTTTTTAAAACCTTTAAACTGTTATAGTTGCACACTTTTTCATGTTGGGACCATAACTATGTGGAAAACAAGAGACAAGTACATTGTATATAATTTATTTGGGAGTTTCAATGCCAAAATCAACTGTTGTAATTTTTCACAAAATAAATTTGCATAATCTTTGTTTCGTCTGTCAGTAGTAAACTTGGATATGAAAGGTCAGGAACAATTCAGTAAAAATTACATTTTGGAAGTTCCCCTATCTTACTGAAATTTTATATTATTGTGTGATCTCACCATTGACACCTTGTCTTCACTTGCTTTTTTAAAAACAATATCTTCTGTTCATTAAATTTTTCACCACCAGACTTTCTCGCCAATTTTTTTCTTATATTCTTTAATATTTCTGGAAATAAACCCTAATTTTGAAGCCAACCGACAAAATTCAGGTCAATTTTCAGTTTTTACTCCAAAAAAATTAGCTTTTTTTGTCCCAGTCATCTTGTGGAAAGTGCAGACTATAAACAGAACTATTTTTTTGAATTTGCAATAGAAAGAGGGAACTGGTGGTGAAAAGGTTGATCCTTTGAATGCTGTACTTTCCCAACCCAAATTTGAAAGGGAGATTTTGTACATTTTTTTTGTTTTTTGAAAGCTTTTCTGTGTTCATTTTGGGCCAGATTGAAATAATTTCTTTTGAACTACAACCCTTTATCAAAATTATTAAGAGTATAGAAAAAAATATGTAAAAAAAATTCTGATAGGTGACAAAAGTAGACTTTGGTGATCAAAGAATTAATTTTGTAAACTGTTTAATTTTTGCTGTTAAGAATTTTCTGATTTGTTGATTTGATGTCATTCTTGAAGACAAATTTCCTAAAGTTGCTGACATTGTGTTGTAAAATTTTCACTGCTACAAAAGTTTTGCAATTTTCACTGACTGATAAAATTTGTGGAAGTTTGTCTGTTCTGTAATTAACCTTTTCACTAGATTTTCCCTCCCAAATTTTCAGCTTTTTTTTCTTATATTCTTCAATAATTTTGGAGCCAACATTTAAGTCAATTTTCAGTTTTTACTGAAAATATTTGGAAATTTTTGTCCCAATCTTCTGAAGGAATGTTCAGACATTAAACGGGACATTATTTTGTTAATTTTCCATACAACACCTCTTCCTCTGTTGAAAAATTCTATTACACATAAGAAAAAAATAAAAAATTTGTTTCTGGATTCAAGTCGAAAAAAAATATTGTGTTGTGGTAAAATTTTGTTTAAATTTTTTTGCTGTGAGTTATTTTTCACTCATTTTTAAAACTGGTATACATATTGACAACAAAAGACAAATTTTTAATTCCATCTTGATAAAACCTCCTAACTCACAGACATTTGTACAATATTACTCCTTATCTTACTGACAATTCAATAATCATATTATTAATTCAGTATTATTCAATATTTTCAGGTATCGGGCGGCACTTCTATTATCGAGACCTTCAACGAACTGATCAAAGAAGATGGGATGAAAGGCTTGACAAAAGGACTGACAGCGCGATACGTGGCTACCGTGCCAACGAGTTTCATGATCTGCGTCAGCTACGAGTTTATTAAGCGAATTAGTCTGAAGTCACACCTTGCTGAGACATTGCACTGGTGATACCTCACCCCTGTCAGTGTAATGGAATGTCCCAGAATAGTTTCTTCATATTTTAAATCATGTATACATCTATCCGAATATCGAAAAGTTTATACTGGTGTCATCCCTATTAGAATAATGGACTCTCATCCCTCACATATTCAGGTCTCATTCCTACATAGATAATGGAATGTTCCACTTTTTTTTTAGTCTCTTAGTGGACTGTGCAATGGATAACCAAGTGTCCCTCAAACTATGCAATAGACTATTTGCAGGTCTGAGTACTTCATCAAATCTGTCATTTTGTTCTTCCAGTACATTAGTGTGCAGCCTAGTTTCAGAAACTCCCTTGACGTTTGCCTTATCATTAATATTCAATTATCGAGTATCTATCCAATTCTTCTTGGTACATAAAGTGTAAATAAATTTCTAAAAAATTGTCTGGCTTTTGTGTGCCATGGGATCTGAGTACTTCATCAAAATCCAACATTTTGTTTACTTTTGAATATGTAATTGCTCGGTGGCAATTAAGTATGTTACGAGTCTGTGATCAAGTTTATTCTGAACCGATGTCATGTTGCTGATGGAATTGATAAAAATGTGACATGCTGCAAAGACTGATAAATTTCTCAAACTTTTTTTGTTTATATTTTAGTATTTTTCTGATGGTCAGAAATCAGTGTCTTTGTTAAAGTATTAGATATTCATAAAGATTTGCCCCTCTCTGCAATAGCATTACATTCCTATACAGAATGGTCTGACCCAAGATGGCTGCTGCTCCAACAAGATTCGCCCCTCTTTTAATAGCAGTACATTCCTATACAGAATGGACAGACCCAAGATGGCTGCTGCTCCATGCTTTTGTACAGTGATAAAGATGATCGGTTTCCATGGCATCTATTTTCAATTATACTTGTTTTTACTATTCTAACCAGAATCTTGTAAATGTCTGAGAATGACGAAGTTGACCAAAAGTCGCCTTAATTTTTGTTTATCATGCCCATATTTGGTGATTTGACCCCACAGTAGGTGGAGAATTTTTCTCCTAACGACAGAAGCTTGGCATCCAAGTTCTAATTCTGGGATACATTGTGATTTAGCACAATAGGTCTATTAGCCATTCAGATATATTGTGTTTCTGTACGAAATCAGAAACATTAATTGCTTCTTCAAGGTCAAAACAGAATCAAGTATAACATGTAGATTACGTGTAAGAGTGTGAGTTTTACATTTTAGAGCAGGGGTGTCGTCACCTGCGCATGCGTCAGATGGCCATAGCGTGTCATTGTTTACAAACATGCGTCTACCCATGAGCCTTTGTGTTTTTAGCGTGTGTTGTCATCGTTGATTGGGACTCAATTCCTGCGCATACACAGGTGACGATCCTCTCGCTTTCAGTTAATTTGGTTTTAGTTACTGTACGATATTTGCTCAGATTGCGTTTGTTTCAAATCATGTTGCTCAGCATTATATTATCTGAATAATTATTCATGAGATATGTTCGATTCGTACAAATGAGTAAACGAAAATTAAGACAGTGGCTGATGTATTCATTAAACTTATGGCGTTGAAATAAAATGTTTCAAGGACTTTTTTCAGACAGTAAACTGTGTTGTGATTCACAAGAATCAGAAAATCAGAATCAGAAAATCAGAAAAAATTAAAACTTGCGTTTAAAAAAGTTCTTTATCGTCTGCTGATGTTATCATTTGATTTATTTCACTTGCTGTATCACGTTTTATGTCAATACTGTTTTTAGTGATATCTCTCAACCTTTTCATCACAAATTCTGTCTTTTCATCACAAATTTACAAAATAGTTTCAATTATGTAGTCTGCACTCTCCTTCGGAAGATAGGGACAAAAATAGTAAAATATTTTTGGTAAAAACTAAAAATAGACTCAAATTTTATCTGTTGGCTCCAAAATTAGGGTTCATTTCCAAAATATTAAAGAATGTGAGAAAAAAGTGCTGACAAATTTGGGCGGGAAAGTCTGGTGGTGAGAAGGGTTAAAAGCTAGCTTAGCTTGCTTTCAAAATTGTCACATTTTTAAGGGCGGGTGGTTGTCGCGCCGCGTTCTGTTCGATATGGGACTCATAGCGACGTACACAACATTGTTTATAGGAAAATCGAACATCCGCTGCGCAACGACTACCGTCCTTTAAATTGAGCTGAGTAATCAGCCTAAATACGTTTCATGTTTGTAACACATACTGTAGAATACTTTATTTTCGCTTGAAATTTATTTCCGCTATTTTCGCTGATGAGATGATTGCGTGAAAATAAAATCCAGCGATTTCACATTCAACGCATTAAAAATCAGTGAAAATAAATTCCATACAAAACACCCAAAAAGCCTTTTCAGCGAAAATT